GTTGAGGGGGATATTTGGGCCTAAGAGGGAAGACGGTGGGGCGTGGAGAAAACTGCACAATGACTAGCTTAAAATCTGTACTGCTCCCCCAGTATTGTGAGGGTGATTAAGTCGAGAAGAGTGAGATGGGCGGGACATGTAGCGTGCATGGATGGGACAAGAGGTGTGCACCGGGTATTGTTCGGGAAGCCTGAAGGGAAGAGACCGCTGGGGAGATCTAGACGTAGATGGGAGGATAATCTCAGGCGGGATCTATGGGAGATAGGAGTTGAAGGAAACTGGATTTTGTTGGCCCAGGACAGGGTCCGGTGGAGGGCTTTGGTTAATTCGGTGATGAACCTTCGGGTTCGGTAAGCCATCTAGTTAGTTAGTTAGTTCTGTTTTTATATATTGTTATATTTAGATGTGCTGACATGAAGCAAAGAAAGGTGGTGTGGTCCCCACTGCTTAACTAAACACCAGGCCATGCAGATATATTTGAAGTGGAATGATAGCTCCATATATTCTTAACCTTGGCTCTAGATGAACGTACTGGCAAACAAGCAGAATTTTTTTTCTGCTTTGTCGCTACACACGTCCATTAATATTCAACACATAATAAAGTTCTTACAAGTTATTTTTTGGAGGAAAGATGATTTGTAAAGTCCCACTCACTCTGAAGCCCTGTAATACTGGTTGCTTGTTTTCAAATTATGAAAACACTGCATCACACCATTTGCAACATTCAGACATACAAGTTTGTAATTCCACATAACCAAATTCATTCATTCTAACAGTTTCAAAAGTTGATGTCAGATTTTTCTAATTATTGTGACATATTCACAAAATAATAAAGAACTATCATGTGAAAGAAATAAGCTTAAAATCTCATCATCATCATCATTATTATTAAGTTACATACCTGATTTAGAAACAATTCCACTCAAAAACTTGTTGAGAAAGTTTGGGGAAGTTCTGAAATTATTCAAAATCTCTTTACGAAATTTACCTGTAGAAAAAGAACAGAACATTTTTCATTAATCCAGCTTACTCTCAGTGACGTACTGTATTTGATTTGACTACTAAACATTAATAATCAACAACTGTAAGAAATATGAATATCCTGAAGCAGTCCCATGAACACATTTACTTAAGTGTTTTGGTCCAGAGTGACTCATATAATAGTTCCATTAATTAAATTTAGTGTATAAATAATTTGATTTGTACCCAAGAGACAGTGTTGTTCAACTGATTCTGTTATAAATTATTGAATGTCTTGCTTGTACATAATACAAGGTAAGGAAAATAAATGGCCATGCAAAGATATTGAGTAACTCCTTATTTACCTAAATTTTCTTAGAATTAATACCAGCTCTTAGGTACACAAATACACACAAAAATTCCCCTACATCAATAGATTAACAAATAAATAAATTAAGATGTGTAATCACAAGCTGGTTCTTGAGCCTACAATAAGCAGTAACAAATGGCATAATTACCTTTATTCTATTGAAAGGAAGAGAGAACAAACTTTTAATAGCAGACAAACACAATTACAATTGTTCATAATTTTTGACAGTCCAATGTGCTTGAAACATGTCATTTGTGAAGTCCTTCTAAAATTCTAACAAACAATGCAGATATCATCATCAGTGTGAATACCATAGTTGGACAAAAAGCAATATCATATACAAGATCTCTGCTCCTGTCAAAAGGCATGAAATTGGACAGACTTATCATCACATGTCCACAAGGATCTCTGAATTTATTAAGGACCAATGATCAGAAACAGCTGAACAATCCACACAAACCAAATATGATACCAAGTCTGACATAGAAGAAGACACACTGCATCCACAAATATCATTCTTGCATTGTTAAAAGGAACAAATGAACTAATCAAACACCCAGAGAACAATAACCAGCAAGATGGATACAGATGAACCTTTACTGGCAATATGTCACAGTTTATGCACAGTCCAACTAGTCATGCAAAACTGCATGACTACTAAACTGTAATCTCAAAGTTAAAGTGCAGCCATGTGGTATGGGGGTTTAAATTCCTCTTTGTGTGCAATAAAAGATAAGTAAAAATTGGGGACATAGTTTTCTAGCTCTTCGTTTCAAATTCCACGACCAAGCCCACTGGCAAGTATCTACGACAATATATTAAAATATAACTCACTTTCTCTTTCTCCTACCTCTTCTAATGCCTGCCCCCGAAGGGCAGCTTGGGTCGCCATGTCCCTCAAGGGCATGTGTCAGGTGAGACTCAAAAAAGTCTTGCACAAATATAAGGAAAAATTCTACACATTGAAACAATAAAAAAAAGGTCACATGAACATGGGTTTAAAATAAGCTCCTTTCTGAGTTACAAGTATTTTTCTCTTCTTTCAAAATTTCCAGTGCACAGTAATACTTCTGTTCACTCCTCTCTGCATTCAGATAGCATATTTCATAGCAAATGCCCCAAATGTCCTCTGTTAGCTCTGACACAGCAATGAGCATATCTTGTCATCGACAGCATGACAGGTTTTAAACTTCCTTAGATGTTGCTATGCCATTATTGCAGTCATACAAATTAGAGTGTTTAGTGTACCCAGAGAACAGAACCGAGATAAGTAAAGAAAGCACTGTTCATGTGTGCTCTTACCAAAGAGTGCTGGTGCAGTTTCATCTCTAGTAACACCTGTGAGGAGTGGGATATTAGGAAACTGTCCAGTAAGCAATCCATCTAAAGGACCTTCTGGTAGGAAGTTTGGCAAGAATCGCCCATCATTAGCCCCTTCAATGCAGGGAGCTGGTCCTAAAAGACCTGTGATTCCTGCTAGAGCACCTTGAGCAGCTATTCTCAGTTCCTACAAAAAAAAAGTAACATCAATAACAACAAAAATATCATCACCACCACCATAAAGATAAGAAATTTTATTTTATTCACATACTGTATTTTGAGATGTTCCAGAGCAAGATTGTCAAGGAAGACAAAACAGATATATCAGATATAAGGTTCTCATGGTGGTAAAGATATTAATGTTCTTCCAGGTTGGGACACCGTGTGGACTCAGGTCCATACAGCATCACAATCCAGAACAACAAAAAAACAAATACATATCAAGAGCTATAACTACTTTGGGTACACATAAACCACTACAATGCAGGGATAGATATAATGTGTGGTGAAAATTTTCTGTTAGGTAAACTGACAGTTCCAAAAATTAGTTAAACTTTACAATCAGCAGCCAACTGTTCTGAACTGAACATGGCCTTTTCATTATTACCTGGAGACCAGAATCAGCTTGAATGAGAGTTGAAACTGGCACTTCTTGTAGACATTTGACCATTTCAAGAACAGGAGTTTCAGGACAGCCATTCTGTTTAGCCAATTCACGACCAGTTGCCAGAGGATTATGGTCAATAGCAAATGTTGAGAGGGCTGATCCACTCATGGCTAGTACTCCGGCCAAAAGCCCTTTCAAATAATTGTGTGGAATTATCATTAATAAACTGAGAAGTAACATACAATTCACATTCTCAAAACACTTAGTTGCACCAGTAATGTATAAGAGATAAATCAGCTTTCAGCTTTATCAAGTGGTCACCAGTTCTCAATAAATCTGAATGTAACTTTTAAACAAACATAATACTTGTATCTAATTAAACTACGTAAGAAACCACTCAATTTATTTGTATTACTTTTTTTAAGGAAGTGAAGTATTGTCATAATCCAGTTCCAAACATTCAATTTTTAAAACAATGCTGTCCAATGGTTTTTTTTTTTTTTTGTTGGGGGGGGGGGGGGAGCACAGGCACAGCAGCACCAGCAAAAAATCAAAATTCATTCAAAACCATTCTGAACCATATGCTTATAAACTGACAAGATCAGTACAAATTAAAACAAGCATCAAGATATCCTTTAACAGCAACCAACTGCTTCAGTACTACCTTGTGTAATTTGTGAGAGGGAGAGTAAGACTGCACTGCTTGCTCCAGTTCCTTGCCCAAAAACAGTGACTTTGTTTGGAGTCCCACCAAAAAATCTGATGTAATCTTTGATCCACTCAAGTGCCAAGGCCATGTCAAACAAACCAGCATTGCCTGGTAACTCTTTTGAATCAGCACTGAGGAAACCTGTAATCAAAAGCAGAAATAGCTGAAGGAATACTTCCAGAGTTCCTGTCAACCTTCTGTCTATTAATGAAGAAAAATGAGATATTTTGCTGTATAAACACATGCATGTGTATGCGCACATGCACACACACTTTTGAAGGCTTGTAAAAGTTTAGTATCATGACACAGAACAAAGATAACCAAGAATAAAATTAGTAATATTATAAGATGGGTTGAAACCTCCTCAAGATTTAGTTGACACAGTCTAATTGCTACCAGGGAGTTAGTTAGTTATGATGGTTAATACAGTTACTACTTAGACTTACCATGAAACCACTTTCAACTTACCCTGAAAACTTTAACTTCAACTCACATTTAAAACATTAATTTCTTATTTTCTTTTTATGAGTTTTCTCAAAAACAAAAGATGGTGTAACAATTGTATATTCATCGTGCGGAGTGTGTTTCTCAATGCAGCTACAGTATGCACAATGGAACATTTCTGTCCATACTGCATACTGTAAAAATGAACTAGTATGTTCATGTGCTTTTCAGTGTCATACTGAACTCTTCTGTCCAGAATAGTGAAAAGGTTAATTTCGATAAAAATGCATTTATTTAATAGCAGGACTAAAATCCATTTCATATAAATGGACAGCTACAGACAGTGAGATTACTTTGAACTTTTTCAATACAATGCAATGAAATCAAACACATTCCTTTTGTATTATCTATTAAACCATGTTCTGTCATGTTTTACCTAACTATATTACTAACTCATGACATTCAAAATTACAACATACATAACATTATTACTTTACTTATTACAGTATGGAGACCAATTTTAGCCACAGATATTCAACATATTTAGTTATTTCAAGAGAGACAGAAAAACATGCAAACTGTTACTACTCTTCAATATAGTGTATATCTGTTACATATATAATTCGTAATTAATATAGCTGCTTAAAATTTGTTAAATCTATCACCTTGTTCTAATTCAGTGTACACAAAAATATTACCCAATAGCAACCAACATTCAATGTAAATGATTAGAAACAACATACAGAAGTTATACACTATATAACTTAATGTATATCTCTTATTTGCCATTCCTCAACAGTCTGTAACATGTCTCACCGATAGATCCAAGCCTGTACTGAATAGTGACCACAACAAGCTTCTTATTAACAAGATGACGCACTCCATACTGTGAAGCCGAACCCCGCCGATGTCCTCCACCATGGATCCACATCATAACTGGAAGACCCTCATTTCCATCTGGAAGCTGAGATATAATCAATTATCTAAATACTTGCCTAACTAACTGTTAAATATATGGACATGTAATAAATTTGGCTCTGAAGATCTTAGTAGCATATCCAACTGTGCTAGCTCCTCTTTACTAACTTTAAATATATAATATTTATTTAACAGATGGACAGGCTTCATTTCAGATAACCACAAAAAGGAGTAACAACTTAAGAAAAAAACTAATTTTTAAATTCTGAATGATTTATTAATGAACAGTATTTGTCTATAATGAAGTATCTTACATGTAATACTGATCTATTTTACAAATACTCATTACAATCGACAATACATCATGCACAACAAACATTTTACATGAATAAAAATATTGAATTATCATCTGGGAGTTTAATGCTCTTACATGAAATTCATCATTTTTTCAGGAGAATCTACTGTGTAAACAGACATGACTGTGCCTCCCAACTGACAGACAAAAATCTGACCATCAACTAAATAAGCTGCTATATACAGATAACTTTGCGGTCAAACAAAATTACATAAATCTAACCAAGTTCACACATAAGGAAAAAAAACGGGGGGAATACAATTTTGATACAACTGCAGCATATATCTTGTACCTACCATTGGAGTGAAGACATTAAGAAAGAGACAATCCTCACTGCCTATAATACCGGTGTTCTGAGGATCAGGCTGAGGACATGGAGGACCTGCAGTAGTTGCATTGATATCACCTGTCAGTCGTAGTTTTCTTGGTCGCTGCAATCATAATAAATCTAAACTCAACAGAAAATAACAAAATGTAGAATGATTTGTATGTTACTTCATGTTAGGTTAGTATGTCAGTAAAATTGCAGTTTCAGAGATATTCAAAGTAGTGCAGGACTACTGTAAAATGGGAGGTGGTACAATTCACCAATTCATTCTCTGCATACATGGATTATACTATTAGATATTGACTGACACAAACGACAGCCAAGTTTTGGACACTTCAATGCATCTACTTTCATGTGCCCTCATGAGCCAATCAGCTTCAGTGACTTGATATATAAAGCATTCAGTTGCTTCAAACATGAAGCAGATGCCATTTGTATATATATCCATATCTCTTTGTGCCATACATTTTAAACTGATGAATAATCAACATTTTTAAAAATATATTTAAGCCTCTATGAAAATGGGTAACTCTGTCTCACATTACCAGCTTAAAATGTATTAAACATTTTAACTGTTAAATGTCATTATACAAAAAAAGGTAGTGTCTACATTTCTCTCCTTAACTTTTAGTTTCTTCTCTGACTGCCTTTCCTTAATTCCCAGCATATAGGTCTTAGTAAATTACAAAATCAGTGGTTCCCAACTTGGGGAATCTGTTCAATTGTTTCAGTATAAGTAAAAATGGTAATGTCATAAATGATACACAGCAGTCTCCTGCTTGCTGCTCATGAAGACATGGTGCCAGAGTATATCTATAACACAGGACACATCTGGACATTAAAAAAACTCAAGAGGATGTCATGGTCCGGATGTATAAAAGATAACACAGGGATGGCAAATGGAACCATGTTATACTATTCTCATTGCGGCTAACTTATACTGTATCACTATGATACATGGATGTTTTCAAACAATTAGTTTATAAATTACTTGAAAATTAAACAATAAGAATCAAAGTTTTTTCATATCAGTTCCTCAGGTTACAGTCAGTTTTTATGATTTTGATAAATCCTCCACTCTCCTGCTACAAAGCTCATGGAGGAAGTTAGAAGCTTTACATTCTGTAAATTCAGAGCTATCATATCGAATGCAGAGAATTCACAAGCCATAAATTTTTTTAGTGAATACCCTAACTATTTTACTTCTTTTGTTTTGTGTAATTTATTTAATGAAGCTTTTCAGCAGCTCAGACTATACAGCATTGAATAGGAGGATAATAGTGAATTGGAAAGGATGTGGAAGGAAGCAGTTGTGGTCTAATTTAAGGTACTACCCTGGCATTTGCATGGAGGGACTGAGGAAAACCATGAATAGAACATGTTCTACCCTCCTGATATATAAAGTTTGACAAGACATCAATAATACCAGAATATCTGACAAATCTGAAACAAGATACACAAGTGCAAAGCAAAGATGGCTGTCTTCTAGGTTGTTGCATTGTGTAGACTGGTACAAGTTTACCAGCATTTCAGAGGTCTTGCCCTGATGATGGAGGCAGCAAGGACCTCTGAAACGTTGGTAAACTTCTACCAGACTACACAGTGCAACAACCCATAAAACACCGTTTTCGGACTCACCACCATGAAAATCTCAAATCCTACTAAGAGCAAAGCACTTTAACTCACCTTATGAGATATAATACAAGAAATTAATACCAATCTTTTGACATAATTAATTATGCATTTTCTGACCTGAAATCTAAACCTTCCCACAGGTGGTTCTGCATATCTGATCCCACGGAAATTATAATATCCATCAGGTTTATCTCTGGTACCATATACTTTAGCATCATGATCATTCAGGTATACAAACACAACAGGATCATCTTCAGGTGGAACAGCTGCCGGTCTGCCACCTACAATTCGTTTCACTCGATTATTTGCAAGAGTGCTTGGTACAACAGATGCAATCAGTATTACTGCAATAAGCTGCAAGTAGGTCATCTCTGGGACTGGATAACTACAGCTCACAACCAATGCTCCTGCTGTGTAACTGGTGGTAGTTCAGTAAGTAAGCTTTTTCAACAAAGACAGAAAGCAACTGCTGATTCATGAACATAAAGTGACTGCTGCTCCTGATAAAAATAACAGGCTAATGACCCATTTTATCTATCAGGAACAGGAAATTCACAACTGCAAGCCCAAATTATGAATGATATAAACAAGTAATACCTATTTCAAAGGTAAATACAAAAAGATACCAACTTTACTTTCATGAGTTTCTGAGTACTGTCCACAAGAAAGCAAATAATGAATATTTTACCTTTACCTGATGTTTGCTTTACTCAGAACACTGATAGAAAGATTTCACCTCAGGACATCTGGGTACAGACGAGAGATTAATATAAACTTAATTCTTGGACTTCAACACACTCCATGCAGCATAGTCCTTCTTCAGGTGAGCTAGTCAATTCCCCACTTTTATGTAATCTAACTATAATAAATTATAACATAAAAAAAGAAAATGTTAAATTAGCACAAACATAAAACAGATGAGAGAATTCCACCAACTAGACAGACTTACAAAAATTAAATTTCCTAGCAAGTCAACTACAATTATTTCACAATAAACATGACTTTCACAAAATATGTATGTGATATATGGGACTGGTAGAAAGTTTAATATAAATAATGTTCCACCTGCCACTCACTTTACAGCAGTTAATACATCTCAGCCAAGGGTGTCATGTTTAGTTTTTCAGGGCAGTGTTCTGCAGTGAAAGAATCTTCAAAATACATTATAACCATTCTATACAATACCTATGCACTTAAAATATGGATTAAAGAAAGTAAATAGTTGTTTTAAAATCAAAGTTATGTATTTTTCATCACCAAACAGTCAATATGTGAAAGTGATAAAATGGCATAGTTACTTACCACATAAATTCTCTGGTATTCATAAAATACAGTAAACATGTTATTGTATGGTGATGATTTATCACATGAAACTGAATTAACATTCAAAACTTTTAACTGGCTATCTAATTTCAATTTTATTATTCCATGTCTTTCAAGTGGTGAATTTACATGAAACTCCACACAAATTTGGAAAATATTTTTGTTTCCATTATATGTACTAAAAGCCTTACCCATTAGATTCCTTGCTTATACAAGACTGACAAGGCAGGACAAGGAAAGAAACTGGGATGGTATGCCATAGCAGTCACAACTTTACACAAGAATGAGACATTATGAACCACTTTCAGGTTAGTACAAGAGCATTATTAATTCAGGTAAGTTAATATGTGATAACATAAGGAGTGGTGTAATCAAAATACAATACCAAATTATTGGATTCCCAAATATATTGAACATACAAACAGATAGTACATTTTCAAATACATCAAACATGACTTGTCAGTCTAATCATCTCCCTTCTTCGTATCGGTCTTTCCACCACGAATCCTACCAGTTCTCCTGGCAGCAATGAGACCAACCTTACGACCAGCACTGGTTCCTCTCTTAACAGTGGAGGCTTTGCCAATGTGCTGATGGTTACCACCACCATGAGGATGTTCTACAGGGTTCATAGCCACACCTCGTACATTAGGCCAGCAGTTACGCTTAGCCTTATATTTATGGTATGCACGACCAGCTTTTAAAATTGGCTTGTCAATTCTTCCGCCACCAGCGACAATACCTAAAGAACAAAAAATTTTGATTCTGTATGTTCACAGGAAGAAAGGAATGGACTAAGCTGACAATGAAACAGCATCCTGATGCAGCACAATTTAATTCACACAATTAAACACTGCAATGTTTTATTGAAAAACTAAATACAAGGCTATGTATGAGGACAATTCCATACTGTCCATTTAAAGTACCATTAAAATAATAGCATATATGATGCTGTGAATTTGCAGTTACGTTTAATAAAATACATACAACAATTCAGATTTATTCTAATCAATCCCAATATTGCAAACACACTCTTCTTTGATAAATTATCTGTCAAGTTAAGATCTAATTTACAACATGAAGCACAGCTCACAGTTCTATAAACAATATTAGCAGCAACTTCTTTTACACATATAGATTTAAAATTTAATTCAATTTTTTATTTAAAACAGCAATTAAGATGTTTACTATTTTTAACATAATTAGAGCAGCCAAGTTTTAATTTATTATTTAATTTAATGGCATGATGTCAACTAGAAAGGTTATAAATGGCACCAAATGAGCTGGCATTTAGCTGGAGATGATGAGAAAAACTGGAGGTTGGTCAAAATCTTATCATAAAGTATAAATGTCAATCACAACCCCATGACATGTTCCATTTGCCATTTTTTATTCTAAACCCTTTCACTGTTTCTGATTAAACATAGCACACATGACTGACATTACTGCATGGTCTGAAAGTCAACTCAACAAAAAGATTGCTGCACCTTTGAAATTTCTGTTTAACTGTATGGACAAACATCATATAAAAAACCTTCGTTAAAAAATGTTATGCTTCTTCTGCTGCCACAGGACATGTGACCACCTGTGTACAATAGGCTAATTAAGGTTATTCCCTTGATTATTTAAAGTAATCACTTTTATCACATCACAACTTGTGCTGCTTGTAAACAATAAAAACCAACATCTCAAAGCCATGCTTCCACAAATCACAGATGACTTGGTCAGGCATGTTCACAGGTTGAAACTTCCAACATGTCTAGATGCCATGAAAATAGACCATCCAAAGTCAAATTAAAATATGGAACATATACATTAATTTATTATTGATTTTTCAGATATGCTACTTTTCTGTGTATACCATATTCCAATTTTATGAAGGTGTTTAATGATATAGTGCAATCATTCCATATGTGTTAAAAGAGTTACTTACCGACCATAGCTCTGTTGTTTGAAGGCATCACCTTTTTTGCCCCAGATGGCAATTTGACACGAGTCTTCTTTGTATCAGGATTATGAGCAATGACAGTAGCATAATTACCAGATGCACGAGCCAGTCGGCCACGATCACCTGTCTTTTCCTCAAGATTGCATACAATAGTGCCTTCTGGCATACTGCCAACAGGCATCACATTGCCAATCTGCAAATTAGCTTTAAATGGAAAGGAAACAATAATGTAATATGTATATCAAAATGTCATAACTTCATTAATGTAGTGCACAATGACGAGAATGCACCTGACATTCAGAAAGAGCCTCTATTTAGCTTCACAAACCTCTCTGAATTATAAGAAATTGGTACAAATCCTTATATCCATTTTCTCAAACCAATATACAGCAAATGTTATGACTGATAAACATTATCCAAAAGAATACTGACCATATCAGAACTTCATACACAAATATGAATAAATATATAATGATTGAAAACTATGGCCATGTGTACAAAATTATTCTGTGGCACAAAGTGATTCATTTGTCAGTTATGTCACTTTATTCAAACAGTATTTGATTTGGTCATCATCATCATGATCTGCAGAGAATATTTTACCTTTCTTTCCACAGTACACAAATTGGCCTGTGTACATTCCTTCAGGTGCAATAAATAGCTCCTTCCGAGTCTTGAAGCGATATGGGTCACGAAAATGAACCAAAGCTAATGGAGCACCACGTCCAGGATCATGGATAATATCCTATCAATGAATGAAGTCATCTCATCAATTACAAAACTGCAATAAAATCTATCAGTATGCCCTTTAATATCTTCAAGGCCTAGTGTAGATTTCAGTCAGTATTTCTAAGACCCAAAGAATCAACATACAGTAAAGCATGGAAAGCATAGTTTTATAACTATACAGCAGTTTTCCGTGGAACACAATTTCTAAGTACACATAAAAGATCTACTTATTAACACTACAGCATTTGAGTCACTTGGACTTGAAAAACAAGAGCCTGAAACATGAAGATACTTAACCACCATTGCTTTACAACTTGTCTTTATCATGTTACTGGGAAGGCAAAAAAATTAGGGTCAAACGAACACACAACTTCTGGTCTGTGCTGAAATTTACCGAGCTAAAATATGAACACAATAAAAAAGTAAACAACTCTTAGACAGCTAATATACACACTAAAATGTTGCATGGTAAAAATATTTCTATGCTAATGACAAAAGTAACAGGAGCCTCTAGAAAATTTCATTTGGATGACAATCAAGGAAAAATGGATGGGCAGAATGTCATGACATGAAAAGATGAGAAATTAAAAACTGCAGCTAAATACCTGAAAAGGAAGAGGCCACATACAGAAACTACAGGTACATGGACAGATACAAACCTTTTGAAGATGAAGCTCATCTACCTACCAAATCATTTAGACCCTATCTCAAAGATAACACAACATGGCTCCATAACAATGCTGGTTTAGGAAACGATTCCTGTCTATTGTGAGGATCATAAGAAACCCACAAACTCATTTTGTGAGCAAAATACAGTCAACTGTTGAATCAGGAAGCACATCAAGTGGCAGACTTACGATATAGTTACAATTCATGTTTAAATTATTAAAATGGTACCTAAATTGCACATGAAAGTGTTGACTGAATAAAGTAACATACTACAGGTAATTCTTGAGCTAATGAGCAACCAACGGTTTTTAAGGTACTCTGAATGGAACACTGTAGCAAAGTTGTTGACACTCATAGTCCACTACTGTAGGTTCCAGGTTCACATCATGGCCCTGAGACTACCATGAGTTTCTTTGTGGGCTTCCTCAATTCCTCCATGCAAAAAATGCCGACACTAACTGCTTTCTGCCACGTCCCTTTCAATCCTTTATTCTATGTAATCTGGCAGCGTTAAATAAACCATTAAGAAACAGGGATTATGTATTATCTTATTTAGTTACATAAGGTAAAATTGTCCATTATGTTTAACTAAACACAACACCAGACAGATATCTGGGGGACTGGAGGTACCTTCACTACTCCCTTGATGTAACCATGTCTTTCAGCAAAGTCAAGAGATCGAAGACGAGGAGCCCCTTTCCTGTGCTTCGTGTGAGATCGAAACACGCTACCAGCACCCTTCCTCTGCCCTCGAATAACACGTCCCATCTTGCTTCTAAACAATAAATATGAGTCACATACATATTTGGAACAGAGATGGCAACTATCTAAATTCTAACATGCCTCACTGGTTTCAAGCCGAAAATAATTTTTAATACGCTACACAACAGGCGGATAAACTAAACTCTCGTCTATTCAACTCGGCTTAACTGAAGCCGTCTTTATGTTCAAATAAGTTAAGCTGATGACATAATATAATGGCGATAAATATAGATTATTTCAGCACTTCACACTACCATACCTACGTCCCTACAAAATACGTGTTCCCAAGAAATCAGTTTCGATTATCGACACAAACCAATGTTCGCATTAACCTCGGTTGGTGTCGATAGCTCGATCGATATTACATGCATAGAGTACTATTTTATGTTGCAGAATATTCCTCCAAAATATATCCTTCGTTAAAAAATTTTATTTACCTGTATTATACCACCGTCTTTTTCTGGTAACTATAGCTAGCTAACTTCATCAATTAATATAATACAATTACAATTTCCGTTAGTAGGCTTTTAGGATCTAATGGCTGAGTACAAAGATGGCTGCCTTCTGAGTTGTAGAGCCGTAGCCTGGTACAAGTAAACAGGCGTTTCAGAATTCATTTCTGCCGCCATTATCAGGACACCCTGATAATGGAGGCTTGAAATACCTCTGACACACTGGCAAACTTCTACAAGACCGCATGGCTCTTAACTGTCAAATCCCATTTAACATTTTTTTAACTTTTAATATTAATACAAGCATTTTACATGTGCACCTTTATCCACAGTCATTTTGGAGAATTTAAAAAAAAATGTTATTTTAATTTATATTAAACTCTTTAAAAATTCAACAAACGTAAATATTTCAAATTATAACGGAGACATATTTTACTTGATAGGCTTATTATTTATACATAAACATTTTTTAAACGAAGCCCATACAATCTACTTGATCATTTTTTGTAAGTACTGTAAAACCTAGTACAAGATAGCAGGCAGCCTGTGTTTGGCATAATTTCCCTGAAATTGGAGATAACTGATAACAGATGGTATTTACATGCAACAAGAAACAAGTATCATGTAAAGATATTTATACATGTCAAAGGTGATACATAAGTGCTGTATGTGAATAAAAATACATTAAGAAAAATGTTTCCTAGTTCTTTACACAAATAATGTTTGTGTATTACACATGTCATGATCATTTTTATGTACTAGTGAATATGAAGAAAGTGTGAATACGGATACAATTAGGAAATGTCTAGTTCTCTGCGTATTCCTGTACATTTTACATTTGTAATTATTTTTTTGTCATCCTGGATAGCAACAATTTTTGTAGTATTACTTGATAAATCAAAACGTTCCAGTTATGAGGCAACAAGCTTAGCTTTCATCCACAACAAATGTCTTTCGCCCCCATCCAAGAACTACGTAGAACTGATTGATGAGAACCAATTGTATCAATAAATCAAGCAACAATTAAAACTTTTGATATACATTACAGTATAAATTATCACTATGTCACATGTTACCATGTGGATTGAATCCCATTACTGTTGGGTTCTGTCCTAGCTATTATGCAGTACAAAGCAGTTCATCCAATACAGCATTTTGTTCAAGCAGTTGCTTTGCCTGCAGGTAGTCAGAACACGAGACATGCTGCTGAAAAACTGCCACTGTAAGATAAGCTGTTTATTTCTGTGACCATTCCATCATAACCACTCTTCGGGCTTGTGCCCTACTACAGTACAACATTGAACATTTGTTTTTGAGAATCGTGAGTTGATGTATTTTCAGCAGAACAATGCATTAACTTACATCACAAAAATTCAGTATGTTATTGATCAACAAATCAGCAGAGGACTATGGCCATCATGTTTCCTAGATTTGAATTTGTGATTTGTCTCTGGAAACAACAGCCATGTAGATATAATCCATGCACTTTGGAGATTTCATAGATTAAAATCCAGAATTTATTCTAGGCACATAGAATGTGAATTTGTTACACAAGTGAGAAATGTGCTTGGATGTTGGAGGACACCACTTATAGCACTTATTGTAAGTGAAGAACAGTTGTTTTACTGACAAATTTGTCAAGCATGAATGTAACTTCCTATTAGGATGTGTGGCAGCATGTGATTTTCTCATGCAAGAGAAACCACCCACCAGCATTCAGTCTCTATGCACAGATAATAATAAGGATGGAAAGGAGAGAATAACATGCAATACACTAAGAAAAATCAAGTCATAAAAACAATTTCAGGCAATTCACAATGTAAAAAGTCATACTTTTCCTAATTAAAGTATGGTAATTTATGTATTTATTTATTCACCATTAATAATAATAATAATAATAATGTTCACAAAATTATAGTAATTAAACACGATACTCCTACATTCTAACATCGTGCTGAAAAACTAACCTCAAATGGACAGGTTCTATCTTTCACCAACTTTTTTTTTTACAAAAACACAAAAGTTACAATACCAACTTAGCAAAAATGCTGAGAATACCTTTAAATGTGAATATTAGATTTGACAACTGGTCAAAATACCTGACAAGCAAAACAGTGACAAGATAAGCCAACATCACCATGTTACCATACATTATTACTTGATTCCTGATGTAGCACATATATAGTATTAGCAACTGCATTTAATTTCACTTATGTCACATTATGAAAATCACAATTTCATATTCAGTTTTAGCTTAAATAAGGAGTCATATTTAAGACTGAAGTAGATTCATAAATATGTAAAAACAAAATTTTATAATCTCTGTTGCTTCTATGGTTTTCATTTGTTGATGTTATGAATGTGAAGTCTTGTTGTCTTATGGATTTATTTTCAATATTCATATGTAATGCACATGAGCTTACCACTGCACTAAAATTCTACCTTCTGTTCAAAGCAAAAACAACAAAAAATGCTTCAAGTACATCATTCCAACATGAACCAAAATCCTGTGAAATGTTAATGTCATTTACATATATGTATGACCCCAAGACAGTATTATTCAATTAAGATACAAATTCACTGAATGCAAGTCATTAAAATGAGTTAATAAACACAAGAATTTGTCACATGTGACTGTTGTAAGTAGGTCAATTGGAGATCTTTGCTTTAATATTTCAGCAACATACAAGTAAGATAAAATTATCAACACTAAAAACAAAACTACTCAGACAATAAAGTGTTAATTGATATATTATTAAGTTTCTTGGTTACAGATTCTATAAAATTTAGTTCATTAAGTGGTAAATGAAACATCTTACTGTTATATTACCCATTGTGTCGAAAATAAAACAATTTCTATAAAGTAAGGATATTGGGCTCTATACAAAATTAAGTTGGCTTCTATTCTCTTGAAAATGAAGCTGACTAGGGTTTGAACAAGCCAAAAGAATTTCAACATCTGAATGAATAATATGCTGCTAATAACGATTCTAATAATGCAGCCAGAACAAGTTACGAAAATTAACATAACAGAATTATTAGTGGCTTTACAAAGTGTTCTGTAATTTGGTATGCTGCAATAATAGTTAAGTTCCTGCACACTTACAATCCACATTTGTAATCCTGTTAACCACGTACACAAGTTTTTCACATGTATTAGTCAAAACTTGGAGATGAGGATCTCTGAGCAATTTTAAAATGAATGTCACTTCAAAGCTCCAAATACAACAAATATTACCTATACTCACATTTTTTACGGTTGTGAAGAAACAGTTTATTTGGAACTTCATTTGCATGTATATCAGTCTACTGAATCAATTTGTACATATCAATATTATAGATATGAACAGATCAAATTTCTTAGTACTCAGTATGAACATCATGCCACTGGAGGCCTCCCCAACTTGGTATTCTTTAACATTCTTAGCAAGTAAGGTATGAACCAATTTAGAGTCTTTTAATGTGGGAGCCAGACCTTTTTTTTATTGTAACAGGTCTTTGAAGTGTAGGCAATTATCATATTTCCTCTTAGGAAACTGAAAATAACAATGCAGTGACTACAAAACTGTTAGGTGTGAAAATTTATGAATCATTGTACTTGATGTGTTCAATTTTTATGGTAACACATAACACTTGTAACAGTAGTAAAAGTCATTTTACTTTTTAACCTTGCTATGTAATGTGTAATGTTAAATTTCATAATTACTGGGCAATGAACTGAAAAGCATATGGAAGGAAGCAGCCATGGCTTAATTTAAGGTACTATCCCAGCATTTACCTGGAAGGTAGAGGGACAAAGAGAAACCATAAAAAAGCTCAGTTAAGATAGCCAGTCTCAGAGCTGAGGTTTGAACCAGGACCTCCTAAATTTGAAGCAGCAGTGCTAACCACTCGAAGTTTCAAAAACTAGCCAGATTTAATTCTTCAAAACCCTAAACACGATACTAATGGTAGGTGTTTTTAATATGTGATATAACATTTTACAAATGTTTCAGAGAGACTGTAAAAAAAATCAATGAACCTACGAGGTGTGATTTACTCAGTACAAAATAATGGCAGCATCAATTCCTGATCTACAAGTTGTTCTTGCAGTTTCAAAAGGAACAAGGGTAGAAAGGTTTTAGGCCTACTCAAATTTTTAAGTACACATTTTCAAAATGTGTTCTTTTCAATTTTTCATACATTATTCTTGAGTTCATTTGCTGAAGACATAAATCCATCACTCACAGAGCTAATAAATAGCAAAGATACTATATAATGCACAAATCATATATTATATCAATGATAAAGCCACACAATAATGAAGATATCACAATGTGTAGATGCATAAAATTATTTTTACCAACTTCAAAAAAAAATTGCAGATTTTAGTATGATCCGTATTATTGACGTATCATTAACTTAATAAATCTGGTAAAGTTCAGTATCAGCTTCATGGAATTTAAATCTACCAACTAATTTTGTAAATGAAGGATAGACAACCTCCCCATTATTTGTCAATTTCATATAATTCATGCAGACAATGCATATAATGTCCTGTCATTCATATTTTCTCTTTATCACTAAACACATGTTCTCAAAATAAATAAAAAACAAAAGTTATACCGCCATGTTATACATGTGTAAGCATATAGGCAAGCTCAGTTTAGTGAACTCACAGCTTGAGATACAGAGGGAATTGTTGGTACTATAACCATGAACTGGGTAAACAATCCATGGCTTTTTCATCTCACATGTTATGTTGCCTTTTCTTGCAGATGTGTCCATAAATGGAGTGCAGTTTTTATGTATTTACATGAAAACAAATACGGTATTGTTTTCCAAATCCTTCTCCAACTAAGGAATTTCATTATGTACCTTAAACCACAAGTAAAATGTGCCCCAACATAATGTGCAAACTTTGGTGCAGATTGGCATGGTAGTTTCCAAACATGCATTATGAAATACAGATGTTAACATACTAATACAAGAAATGCAAAAATAGCAACTACGTTTTCATTATATCCTGGCATGCTATAACATAACATACAAGAATATAATTATGATCCATTTTTAAAAAACAATTAAATGGTTATAAGTTGTCAGTCTGGGGGTCTAATATTGGACAGCAGCCATGTACTGCCAAGTCATCAAAAACTGGCTGTTCAGCTGTTCACACAAAATCTATGTTATACAGTTGCATGTTCAATTATTATTATATTTTTAATGTCTACCTCTCAACCACCCCACACAAACCAAAATTCATTCCTACCATACAAATACCTTTTTTGTTTATTAAATATCACACATCCACAAACTGTAAAAAAAATCCCATTTTGAGAAATATCCAATACACCTGCAAAAATCTAAACATATTATTACAGGCAATCATTGTAACTGGGAGGCAAGTACTTTAAGACAAACTGATATTTTGTTTTAATAAATCTTTGCATTTAAGGATGAAGATTACTTTTCTTTACAATTATAGTGTATAATTGGTGGCTTTTCATCTAGAAAACAACTTATACTGAAAAAAAGTCAAGGATATTTAGAAGTAAAAGCACGAATGTCCTATCATGTCATATATACACCAGCATTATGGTGAGAGAATTTCTCAGTATAATTATGAATGGCTCTTAATTCAAAGGTCAAACTGTCTGACCAATAACAATCTTTTACTTTCCTACTATTATCTGACCACTTCTTTCAAACAAGGTAATTTAAATAACTTCAGATTTCAGTTCTCACAATGATGAAAATGTTGATTGTGATCTTAAGGATGGGATGCAGTGCAGTCTTCTAGATGGTAACCAGCACTTTTGGAGGAATGTATATTCCATCTTCACACTGGAGACAATACATTCCTCTGAAGCACTAAAACTCACCTACAAGACTAAATGATGTCACTACCCAGAAAACTACAACTACAACCGACTTTTAAATAACTTAATTTAAAATTTTGTTTGTTCAACTTAATGCAGATCTCACTAAGCCTTAAAGAGCATAATGCTACAGCCATTTTACTTTACATGAATCAAATACCACTATACTGTTTTACTCTTTTCCTCTTCAAAACTACACTTTGGTGTAATGTGTTCATCACATACACAAAAACAATTAACATCTGAAAATATATTACTGCTCAAAGGGTAGGGAAGACATTTTAATCATGTTCTGAAATGTCTTACTTCATTTATTATATTATGTACTGCAGTTCTTATTCAAATTACACGTTTTTAAAAAGAAAACACATTCTGTATCAGTTCCTCAGTCCCAATGCCAAATTCCTTCATAGTACTGATAACACTACAACAATTGCAAAATAAATTACTGTACCATTTCCAAATCATGAGGCACTAAATAAATAACCTCAAGAAGCAGAATATCCAAACCTACATTCTTCAAGAAATGTGAAGTCATATGAGGTACACATTGTCCAAAAGACCCTGTCTATTTTAAAAATTAAAAAAAAAAAAAAGCAAAAGAACAAGGATAGTATAAGTCTAACACAGTTTGAAAAAAATGCTGATAATCATGCTACACAACAGTAAATATAAAATTTTGTCCACAATAAATTATAAAAGGATGGAAAAAACTGGGAACTTGCTATAACACTTGTAGGATTAATAAAGCAACAAGAACCTGTTCTACATAAGACAACATCAACAATTTGCTTAATTTCTTACAAGGGATATGATGTTGAGTAGTTGACCACATGATAACTTGAGTGAAAATTTGTGCTGTGAATTGCAGGATTCAATTTTTATAAACAAGCAATAAATTCCCCCTCCTAAATAACACAGCCTGTAATATTGGATAGCGGTTGAAGAGGAGAGCCTTCCGATTGCCAAATTTGTTTGTATTTATACATATGAGATCTAACAATTTTCAAAAGGCTCAAGTCAGAACCTCAATAACATGCATCACCATGCAGAATGGGTTGAAAGAAATTATACTTATACCAGAGGCAGTGCTCACATTAACCTTCGGAGAGGTGGAATGGGCTCATTACACATTGCAAAGATGAGGTTTTGATTATTTTAAGTATTTACATAAAAATCATAAATATGACTTATGTAAGATTTCCAATGAATGAATAGAAATCAACAAAAGTCCTTTGCTGAAAGTACAGAAATGTGAAAGTTGAACTTCACATAAACAAAACACAGCTAGACATGTAACAAAAGTTATATATAACATGCTGTAGATATACACACCTCATTAGTACCAGCATTACAAAATTAATAAATTACCATAAATATCACTGTAATGAAGGTTCTCTCTATACCTGCTCAAGTGTCCTGTTTCAGAGAAACAATGAAGACAATACCACTTGCTACCCCAACAAGAATGATGTGGAAAACCCAATCAAAATCACTTTCTCCCAATATGTGAAATGGTTGTCAATGTTCCTGTCCTTGGGTTTTCATAGCTGTAGTTAAATCTGTAACTGAAGTTTTTGGGATGAGCTTCATCAAATGTTAAGAAACATTGGGTAATTCTCAACATTAGAGGTGGGTCATCCCTGAAAGCCAAAGTTACACATGTGAAAAGCACTATAGATGAAATTCTGAAAACTTCAAAGTAATACAACTTTCACATGTTATCTCACATAACTGCTGGAGCATTTCAAACAGATGATCTATGGACCATTACACACAGAAATGTATGTAATACAGAGTTTCACAACTTTTTGTTGAATAACCAAGTTCACTTATGTGTCACTGTTAATTTTACTTCTTTTACACACGCATCAGATCCAGCCCCCCTGGCCAGAATTTAGAGGGTTTGTACACATTTATCACCAAACTGCCAAATACATCTCATGTTAAAATATTGATAGGAATGGTGACTGTGGGAACAAAAAGAGCAAATATATAATAATCTGTCAAAAGACAATAACAAATATACTGCTTCAAGATGCAATTTCCTCATTTACAATACTAGAATTGATCCTTAAGCATCGTCTGGCTTAGCTTAAGAATCAAAGTTTATTCTGACAATGCATAAAAATTATTTTTAATTACAGTTCATTCCTTGAATTCCAACGCACATTAAAAACAAACATACTTTCATTTTGAGTCCAATTTGGCTACTTATTCACCTTCAATTTATACAGAAGAGAGTCCCTTACTTGTGACATGCCAACAACTGCCCTAATTCATATATGGTGCTCTTTAATAAACAGCTGGCTGGGATGTTAGACCAAGTTTCAAGTAACAAAGGAACAACATAGATATAAACAGCATAAATATGCTTTCCCTTTCAGTAATTCTGATGCCCATTGCCTGTAGTGTGCCTGTGTGCCAAACTAGTCCATCCACTTGCTGCAGACTACCCAAGATGCAATGTTCACATGGGCTCCAATTTATGTTGGTGTTCAAGCACTGCTCTCTTTGGTGGGGGCTCATCACACTCTGATCCACACTGTAGGGGGGAAAAAGAATTGCAAGTACATCTTTGAGAGTTTTTAAGTTGCATGGAAAATGTTTATGGTATTAAAGACTCTCCAGTCATTATATTTAATAAATAACCTTTAACAGCTATGTTGCATGGCACATGCACAGTCCAGCTGGTTGTTTATTGCAGTAACATACCACTAAACCATTAAACCCAGAGTTATGTCTGATGCGAGCCGGGATAGCTCAGTCAGTATAGTGACTAGCTACGGGCTGGACAACCGGGGTTCGATCCCCGACGGGAGCAGTGGATTTTTCCTCTAGCCTCTGCGTCCAGACCGGCTCTGGGGCCCACCCAGCCTCCTATCCAATGCGTACCAGGTCCTTTCCAGGGTGTAAAGCCGGCCGGGGCATGCTGCTGACCACTCACCCCCATCCAGTGCCGAGGTCAAGAAAGAGTAGGAGCTATACCTCCACTCCCCCAATGTGCCTACATGGCGTTAGTGGGACGCTTTACTACTTTACTATATCTGATGAATGGTAAATAATATAATAATAATAATATGAATGACAGCAGATAATAAACTACAGAAATAAAAATAATTTAGAGAAGAGTAATGTAAGAAAGTAAAAAGAAAGGTAATAACTCTAACAGTATAAATCATACTATATTTTACAAGGTTTGCTAAGACAGGGTTCCAAAAGCCTATAACAATAACCAATATTAGTACTGGCAATCATTCTTCCGAATATTGCATAAAAATGTACATAACATGAAATGATTATATCAAGTGACAAGCAGGGGTTCTCAATCCATAGCCAGCAGACAATATGCAGCCAACTACATTTTTGTAAAATGTACCACCCTGCAAAATATACAAGTTACTGTCTAAACTGAAGCAAATAATAATAATAAGTCAAGAATTCTGTTAAAGAAAATGGCTGAGTAACAGGCAAATCTGTTTGTAATCTTTAATTAAAAACATTTTTAATAAACTCTCATTAAGTTCAATAAACTGTCATCATTTATAACCAAGCACACCAATAAGTAAAAGAATGTGAATGTGGCCCCATGCAGTACAGAACCCATTCTAAATCTTCTGTGTGAAGTACACTATGCTCCAATGAATATGTAAAGTGACAAACTGGACTGCTGTTCCAATGCAGTTCACACAACCTGAGACCATGCTACCGGTGAGAGCCCATAACAATTAGGTAGATAGCAGAGTCAATTTTAAAACTAAGTAACATTTGACTCACATTAATATTATATGCTAAAAATATGACAGAAAAAATCATTAAAACACCTCTTTTTGACAAAGCCACACTTCATAATTGTCCAACACAGATACAAATAACATTAAGGCTACATTTAATCCAAGTTTCTTACACTACACTCCATTAAAGAAGCAAACTAATATGACAACTTTTTATCTGAACTGGTTGTATGCCACATAAATACAAGTCATGAGTGATCCATTTCATTCATTTTGACAGAAATGATAGGCACTTTTTCCTTCATTGCAAAAGTAAAGTTCTGCATATTTTACATCAAACAACTACTTATGACTTCAAATGGCTTACCTCTTCCTCCATGCCCGGCAACTGGATTTTTGTTTCTGATGCCTCAGAAGGCTGCTCCAGCCACATGAAACACAATACAACAAATGAAATACCTCTATTAAAAAGTTAATATCAGAAGTAGGGATGCCATTGGTTATTCTTCTGATAGTAACAAAATACCAAAACAAAGACTGAGTTTCAAAATAATGATCATGTTGGATATAAAAATATTACTGAAAAATCAACAGAAACAGAATATTACAAGATCTTAATATCACATTCTTCAACCATTATAGTGCCAAGACAGATTATAAAAGCCATAAGAAATTACAGTGACAAACAAAAGAACTTTTTGCATCTGCTGTATCTGGAATGTGGTTAGTGCCTGTCACAGTTCACCGAAAATATGTATTTTTAAAGGTGAAGAATATTTAGTAGTTGCAATATAGTTATATTTAAATTTAAAAAAACATAGCACTTAAAAAGTTAATACAAAACCCTTATACACAACTAACCTCTGCATCAATACACTCCAACATGCCTTCTTCCTGCAGCATGCAAATATGAATAAGATAATTAGACAATTTCATTATGAAATACCCTCAATAAAATTCCTATATTTTAAAGAAGAGTAAAAAAGGCATATTCTACTGCCATTTCTGCAAGTTCACCAACAAGTACAATTTACACCAGTCTCACTTAAATTCACTAAGTAGCTCAGAAGATCCTGGCCAGAACATTAAAACTGTACTTGAGTAGAAAGTTAACTGTCTGGACTAGCCATGTTTCCTGAATCAATGATTTTCACCATTTGTATATCTGAAAATTACAAAAATGTATTAACTTTTCATCATATCTTCAGCTCATCAAAATAATAAACCATTAGTGAATACTTAACTGTCACTTTCAAGCAGCCCAACACTTGCCATGCCAGAATTACAATGGGCCACACAGTAAACAAATATTTCCAAATGGTAAAGGGTAGTCAACACAAGCATGGAAGCCCTAAACCAATCTACATCAATACATGATTTGACTTAGCAATGCTTCATCTATGGTCTGTGGAAGCTTGGATTTTATCACTTTTTAAAGTCTGGCTCTATTTGCGGGGCACCTGTGCTAGGGTCATTATCTGCCCACCCCAGCTTATTCATTCAATCAATCAATCATTCATTCATTCATTCACTAACTTCAAGTCCATTTTCCAACTTTTAATAATGCATGAAACAAAATGGCAGCAACATTTAAAAAAAATAATAATGTGGTAATGGCAATATTAATTATTTACTGATGTGGATACCATGGAAACACAGATATAAATATTTTTATTCAATGTTCACATCTTTACCATTGTCAGAACCAAGGAATAAAGGATTTTCTCATATTTACATAACCTCTTGCATTCACAACCAACTACCTATGAGGATCAATTCAATAAAGGCATAAGTCCCGCCCACCATTTGCTGCATGCTTACAAGTCACAACCACATTATGCTCGTAATTTGCCATATACATGTGTGAATAAACATGTCAACCTGTATGAAAATTCCATGACAAATATAATACAGAAAGTTAAACAAATGTACATATGATAAGCTATGTTACAGACTGGATTTGAATGCCACAACTGAAATAACTGGTTTTGAGCTGATCATATTTTGCCATTGTTCTTTAAAACACAGAACAATAATAGTCAATTCATAGTTTTCCTATTTTGCTCTTTGATAAGCCAACAACTTCAAAGAGATTTATTATTTCACACTTTGCATTTGAGTCTAAACACTTCTGTTTCATTCCAATAATTAGGACTAAACATTTTCTAATTTAAAACAAAGAAAAATCTACAACTTTAATTCACTATCCAAACAATAAAGTAAGCAAAAGTTTCCATACATCTTTGCTGTGACATTCATTATGAGACAGTGTCAGCCAGCAAATATTGTCAATACTGGTCACTGGTTACTTTGAATTTAGCCACAGGCCTCAGCAAATCATTTAAACACATGCATTATTGGAAAAGAGTTATTTTTCCTCATTAAACAACATGATGACACCATAATCTGGAGCTGCAGCAGTTCCCAAACATCTTTGTTGTGATATGCATTACAAAGTGGAGTGTCAAGCAGTGTTGCCAATAACACTGCTTATTTCAGGTTTAAAACATCATTTAAACACATAGTTGGTGGTAGAAAGAAAAATGTATGTGCTGCAGTGGAGAATGTCATATGATAAGATATCTCTCAATGGCAAAAATTTGGAAAGGGTACCACAAATTCTGATTCTTAACTACAAAGGTGCAAAGTGTAGGTCAATGGTATGTTTATGATCTGCCACCTATAAATAACTTCAGAAGAAAAGTGTATGTAATCAGTGCAAAAAGTAACTACCCTGTTGGTTATAAGTCACTAATTATGACAAAGATGCCAAATAAAGCTCTCACTATATGCATTTTCCATAAATGTAACAGTAAGTAATAGATGGTGCCAATTATTTTGCTTGCTATAACAAAGTTCTTGTTACAGGTCATACTTGTTCTATTGTGGTTACACTGTATACTCACCTTGACATCAGTTTCATTGATACCAACACCTTGCTGATGCTTCAAAGCTCGACCTCTCATTTTCCCACGTGTGATCAACTTCACTCCACCTGTACTGGTGTCTACCATAGATAACGGTAAGCCTGGCTTCATTTTGGGGGCATGCACCTACAAAATACATGTCAATATTATGCAACACTAATGAATGTATGAGCTAAATGCACTTCATTTCATGGCAGAAGCTTGCTACATAACCAGTTTCACTATCAAAACCTGTTTTAAGAAATGTGGGTTTGATTTAAACCATCAGAACCAGTTCTGAAGCACGTAACAATGAAACTGAAGATGATTTAGATGCTATGGAAGATGATAATGATGATGATGCTTCAGTTGCTACCAGAAGTATCCCATGGAAATGTTTAATATGATAACCCTACTGGAAAATGTGAGGTGTAGTCTGTGACTTAGATGTTACATGAAAAGTTGGCACAATTAGATGAGTCTGATGAGAACAAAGATGATAGTGGTGATGGAAGAAATAAGCCTGCTATATTTGCAACATCAATGGTGGGCACTAGTACTTCAAATTGTAATGCTACATTCTCAGTTTTTTTAAGCATATACGAGGTGCGATCGGAAAGTTTCAAGACTGTGTCAATAGCGGGCGAACCGGATGTAGTACGAGCTTCTGCCTTTAGGGGGTGCGGCACGTTTTAAAAATGGCCGAATCTCTGTCGATGATGACGAGCGTTCTGTACGACCATCTTCGAGCACAACGCCCGAAAATGTTACGAAGATTCGGCAGGCCATTTACGAAGATCGACGTCGTACCATACACGACTTGTGCGACATTGTTGGGCTAGGCTATGGGACCTGTCAGCTGATTCTAAAGGACGGAAGCGGCCGTCAAAGTGGCGCAACCACAACTGGCTGCTGCATCATGACAACGCACCAGCACTCACCGCCCTCAAAGTTCGGCAGTTTTTGGCCTCAAACACCATGGCCGTCATCCCGCACCCTCCTTATTCGCCGTGTGACTTCTTCCTCTTCCCAAAGATGAAAATTCAGCTAAAGGGAAGGAGATTTGAGACGATAGAAGAGATTCAGGCAGAATCGCAGATGGTGCTTGACAGGCTGACAAAGAAAGATTTCCAGGGATGCTTCCAGGCTTGGCAGCGGCGCTGGGATCGTTGTGTTCACTCCCAGGGGAACTACTTCGAGGGTGATGGATGAATTTAATACCTGAGATAAGTGTACGGGTTTTTATAGGCGCAGTCTAGAAACTTTCCGATCGCACCTCGTACTGAATATGGAAGACCTTATTAGTCTTACTTGCATTTCAGGTGGCAGATAAGATTTTGCATTAACCCAAAGGGCATCTTCGTGACGACGAAAGTACATGGTTGGAACTCTTGTGTCAGCAGGGAACTCTTTCATTTCATAATTTGTCGTCTTAGAAAGGACTAGACCCATGGCCAAGTCACACACAGCCCAGAGTTTCTGTGGAATAAAATGCACAAAAAATTAAAAATGTAGCATGAATTATTACAGAAATGAAAGTAGTATCAATAAGACTTGCCATGAATATTCAAACTGAAAATTTAAAACTAGATATTAGATAAATACAATCATTGTGTGCAGATAAGATTCAAAGTTCTCACAGCAATGAGTATGTAAATGGCTGTATTCTTAAATGTAGCACTGTGAAATTTGGTAGACATTGATGTTTCAGAGAAGCTTACTGCCATCATAACCAGGGTGATAATATTCCTTTGAAACATACAACAATATCTACCAGAATATAAGGTGCTACAACCCTTAGTTTAACAAAATGCACAACACAATACAGTTTACTATCAGATTTGCTCCAATTGTATTGGTGTAATAATTACAACTTCTGTTTTCTGTTCATGAGATGTCTGATTTGGTGGCCAGGACTACCATGAATACAATATGATAAGGAACAGATTTACAACAAAACAAATCTTTCTAAACTTACGTGATTCATGCTATCATCTTCCCCTTTAAGAGCATCTTTATGGTTCTTCATACGTTCAATAAGATTTTTGTAGAAACCAAAGCAGTAAAACTCATTTTTTGTCATAAGAGGTTCAAGTATGAACCAGAGACACTGCCGCACCCTGGTAAGCTGCTCCACATCTTCATTAGAGGTAAAGTCTGGATCATGAGCTAGAACTGGCACTGCAAAAACTAGCATGTAGTCAGGAAGAATGTGTGCCAGCTGGCCCATGCCCCTTTCAGTTGGACCTGTGATTCAAACACAACAGTAAATGGTGATATAGTTTAACATTCATTGTATTAGTTGTATTGACCCAGAATTTAATATAGTGACACAAATTTCATGTTAATTCATACCTCCCGTAGACCAAACAGGCAGTGTTTTGATGTACTCTCTTCGTTTGTTGATATCTGACACCATGTGCTGACGAATCTGAGCCTTAATTCTCTTGTCTTGCTCCTGGCCTGCGAGGGCATAGTAACCCATAAAGTCAAGTGGCAGACATCTGTTGTTCGGAATTCCTTTGCTCAAACCTTTGTGCAACTTGGCTGCAAAGATTTCACGCACTTGTGGAATTTCATCCTGCCAACATAATCATTCTATTAATTACACACTTTATAACAAAAAGGACTTGACAAGAAAAGAGAGAGAAGGAAAGGAACAGTTTACTAAACATATGTTACAGATTTTATAAGAATTAAAACTGTATAACATTGCTCTTTAAAATATAACACTATACGAAATACACTGTACATATAAATTCAAATGATACCCTCACATTGTAATATATTATGAAAACTGTAACTAAACTAGTGGTCAATTTATCGCACTAAAAATATCTCAAAAGTGCAATACAGTAAAACCTGCTTATAATGAATCTCAAGCCATCTAAACATTTCTCCATTTTGGAGAGGTTTACACACAACACAGGCATTTCCTTCTTCACATAGAAAACAAAGTAGTAATCATCCCATGTACTAAAATATTTATGATCCAAAATACATGTCAAATTCATGCTACATGTGTATACCGCCCAATTAGTGATCTGTAATCACTTACAGTTTTTTTTTTACTTTCTTCAGTACTTAAGAGTGTTATGCAAACATTTTATCAATGGATAAACTTACAGTAATTTTGATCCATTTATAACAAGAAATGTTCTGATAAATTCCAGGAAGTAATATACAAGACAATTATATGAACAGAAAGCAATAAATGTTTAAGCAGAATATTTTCTGGTAAATCACTGTTTCTGTGTCAAACACGTGCTATTACAGGTAAATTTAAGTTGGTATTTCTTAATACACTTCTAGGACCACAGACATTTCTTGATAATGCAGATTTCCATTTAATTCAAGATCATTATTAGATAGGTTTCATTGTACTATAAAAATTACAATATGCAGCAATTAACAAAATAAAAATCTTACAGTCATCAGGAGAGATAAATGGTAAAACTGTTCTGCATTGAACTGGTCACCCACTCCTTTCTGTTCACAAATTTTAAGCATAGCACAGCCAGCTCCTAACCGAAGCCATGCCAACTCTGCTTTACTGCATTAAAAGAAATAACATGTAAGTAACATTTGTATCACAAAAAATAATCACTAAAATTAGTTCCAACAAATGAACCCTTAAATCTTCTAGGGAAACTGCTATCTTGGGTTGCAATTAATTACACCTTAATTTTTATGGTCATAGGTCAGTTCTTCAAATTCATCAATTTCTTCAGATTAAGATTTTATTCATTTCAAAGTGCTAATCTGCCATTTCTCATAACAACCTTAAAAATAGGATTTCAAAGCAATTCCATTTTATTATATAGGTATCACAGAATACAAAAAAGTATAATACGAATATGTAAATAAATACATATATAAACACACATAGCGTCAAACATACCTAAGTTTTCCCTGCTGAAGCAAGTCACCCTGATTAACAATAAATGCATTCAACATCCTGAAAGTCTTCTGTGCTGACAGTTCATCAGCTTTCAGTCCAAGAAGCCACCGTGCCATAGTCTTCAGTCCTTCAAGCTGGTGACATATGAATAACATTAATTTCTTTGTATTTTTTTAAAGAAATTTGAGTATTCAATATCACAAGCAGAACAAATTTAATTTAAAAAAGGCCCCTTCCAGGGTCAGTACACAGGAAGGCCAGGTGAAGAGGGCTCCTCAGACCTGCCCTTCAAATAACAAAGAAAGTTAGCAACTACACAGTGACAAAAAGCTGACTCTTCTTACTCACCTTACATCGAGTTTCTTCAGGCAGCTCATCCTCTCTGCACCATTCTACATCACTACTTAAGACATCTGAACTAATTCCAGTCTCTTTCACCAACAACTCTTTTACAACCTGTAAGCCAAAATAAATTAAATATCAAATGACATACAAAACTAAATACACAATCAAAATGAAATCTACAATCAAAGTACACACACACACACAAGTGATAATAAGTCAGATTTTCTAACCACCAACAGTCTCTAGGTATACAGCAATATGAGTTTATCAGATACTTGTCAGACTAGTATTATCTTATGGTAATAAATCATGGACAACATGAAGAACTAATGAGAAGATAAAGATCAACATGATGGGGACTGCAGGACACACCCTACTGGACCATAACAAAATTAAGGAACTGAAACAAAACAATAAATTTCACAAATAGTAGAACAAACAGAAACCAAAAGAAACTGGAAAGAATGCAGACGCAATAATTCCTGACAGGATTCTAAAAAGCATTTAAAAAGTCGCCCAAAAGAAAAAAAAGGAGTTTAGGAAGACATCTGAAACATGGAAGGACTCTCTTTGTAATATTTGCAAAATATCTCAACAGGCCTAATATTGTGTGTGGGGGAAGAATGATAACATAGAATATAGCTGAAAAAAGTATTTAAAATATAAAGTTTTTAAGACAAATTTAGTATAAAACAAAGATGTGAGATTATGCAATTTAAAACAAGTTAGGTATGCAAACAAAGAAGAGAAATTGAGCAATAAACAGATTACACAATCCTTTTCCATAAGGGTTACAGATTATCTAAGCCACAATCTCATACAGGTACCACTGATGCAATTGATTTTCAATTATGTATATTTCTTAATGAGAGAATCATCAAACTGGGTGAACAGTCATTTGTATGTAAATCTGAAAGAAAAGCTGGTACAACTCCTTTTCTGTAGGTACTTTAACCATGCAATATGAAAAAATACAATGCAAGATTAACTACCCATTACATGAATGGACCTTAAAAAAGCATTACCTTTCGAGAGACTATGTTCTTTATGTGGACTGGATATTTGTCAGGTAAGTTGTATGCAACATGGCCCAAAGCAACAATAGCTGTCCTGAAGTGTTCTGAACTGGGATTCAAATTTTCTTTGATTCTCTGAAACAGTTAACACATATTGCACAAGATTTATAATTTGAAAAACATCGCCAGCAAATAAATGCAATATAAAACATTACATAAACATAAAAATTCTAAACAGAAAAATCAAACTCTTAATAGTTAGACAACAAGCATAAAATTTCCATTAACACTGTAACAAACTTAAATTAAAAAATAAATAAAAGGTATTGTAATCAAAAAAAAAATCAGAAGCTGCAGCTACAGGGATAGTTTCAAAATTTGGAAATTCATTAGCTGATATACTTCTAATTATAAAACTCTTGAACAGACAAAGTAAACAAAGACTACAGGAAAGTAAGGATTGCCTATGGACACTGATTATAGTTGCTGTCCCTTAGAGTGTACAATCATTTTGTGGAAAACATAGAGATCCCCAACAAATAGAGCACACTGATACTTTTTAAGTGTGAGCTTTATCAACATCAAATTACATCAATATACACTGGTATTAGGTGCTGAGAGGAGTCCGCAGTGATCGCACGGTCTGAGGCGTGGGCCTTGTGCCGCTTGGTCGCTGGGACCTTGGGTTCGAATCCCACTCAAGCCATGGATGTTTGTCCACGTATTTCTGTGTTGTGCTGTCCTGTGTACAGGTAGAGGCTTTGTGACGGGCCAATCCCTTGTCCAAGGAGTCCTACCGAATGACTATTGATCGAGCCAACAAAAAGTTGGGACCTGCAGTGCTCAGGCACTTGAAGAACGGGTCGTTCCCAGTATCCCAGTATTAGGTGCTGAGTAATGTATTAATATAATATTACCTACAAACTATCAAGACAAATGTGCATAACAAATGAAATGACAGCCCTCTACTGGAAATGAATAAGCATTTCTGAAATGTGATGCAAATGTATAACAGGAAGAGAGAAAATGATGATTCTACTCACAAAGCTCTTACCTCTAAAATTTCTGAAAACACTGCATCCTGCCCATGTGCAAGATTAACATACAGACAGCGGATGGCCTGTTTTGCTTGTTTTGTTGTACCTGTTACAGCAAACTGTTTACAAACAGGTACCAGCTCACGCATAAGGTCCCCAAACTGCTCACCTGCAGCAACAAACAAAAAAAAAGTTATAAAATCTACTATTCAAATCACTTGATATAAAAATTATCTGAAAATTAAAGATATAATCAATATCATAATACAGTAAGAAGAAATATTTATCCATAAAAGAAACACTTTTCTTTAAAATATGAAAAACCTGGCATGGAATAGATCATTGACAATGCTGTTCTTGGTTTTTATATTATGTATATTTGTAGGAAGGTACCAACATTTCAGAGAAACATACTGTCACCATCTTCATCTCTGAAGATGGAGACAGTCTATTTCTCTGATATGCTTTTATCTACCTATAAGTCTAGATGGTGTAAAAACCCTGAACAAGTACGCCATCCTCACCACTGTGAGAACCTCAAATCTCACAAATAAGAAGACTATTTCATGCAATGTCAGAAATCAGGAAAAACTGTCTCAAAATATGCAGGATATCCAGACGAGTGTGATGTTTGCTGGAAATTCTGACAACAGCAGTATTCATTACAGTAGCAATTTCCTACACATATTCTTGAAGACACCTGCATGGGTTCTGTGACATGGTGTGACCTTCAGTACTACACTTCATGTCAATTAGTATATAATTTTTACAGTACAGTACGGCCCCGCTTTTCGGCGATCCGCTAATACGGCGCTTTTCAATTGCGTGCATATGCCCCACATTATCAACAGCTGAGTCAGAGAAGTGCGTCCAGCGCCATTTTCTCGTCGCTGATTCAGTCTGTTTACAGCTACTACTGATATTCATTTTACTTTCATATCGTTTTCTTAGGCCTAGCGCTATTGTGCACTTACTACATGATAGTGTAAACATCTTATTAGGCTTTGATATGCATTTGCAATTGAAAAAAGGCAAAGATCCGCTTTTCGGCGGGGGTCTGGTCCCTAACCTGCCGTATATGCGGTGCCCTACTGTATGATGTACAATGCATATAGTGCAGTACAATTTAAAACATTTGTCAAAAGGCAAATAAAATAGAAAAAGTATTCAAAATTACCACACAATAATATTTCAACACCAACAACTTTATGACAAAGTCCCAAATACCCAAAATAATGAAAGTTCAAAATATGTACACTTTCCATGCTTCCAGGTGGAAAGAAAACAAGAACTACACACATTATATTTACCTATTGGTTTGTATTTGCCAAGGAAGGTGAGAACAGATAGAACTAATGGTGCCACTGTCTCATCTTCCATGCTCAGAAATGAAGCAAGATGACGAAGAACATCTTCATGAAGAAAATGACAAGGAAAAACAAAAGACAGCATCTATGAGGAAGAAAAAAAAAAAGAACATTAGTAATATGTAAAAATGCTAAATATGTATGTGTGTGTGTTTTACTGGACTGATCATACTGACATGCAGAAACATGCCTGATTTAGATCTGGGAAATACTCGATGCCATTCAAAGACTTATGGTCTTCCACAGGCCCATACACAAAAGCCAGGTAGTGCCTTAAAAGATGTTTGGCATCCTCCCAACTCAAATTTCATAATCATCCTATCGCATCCCATTCAATGCTATATAACCCCATTAAGTTCATACAGCATGACTAAAACATCTGAAAAAACAAACCACATTTCTGTAGGATTTGTTTCGTTCTAAACTGCCAGGTCACACAGTACTAGCAATAATACCATATAAAATGAATAAAAATGTCTTTAGAGAACACATTAAAAATTATTACACAAGGTCATTAGTGGTATTACCAACAAATTCCAAAGATTATGTTACAGTCCACTTAACAAGAAACAATATGAATCAGACATTAAAATCATTCCTAGAGCATTAGTTAATGAATTATACAAATGCTTGTCAATTTCAACCTGGAAAAATTTCTGAAGAAAATACATAATTATGTTTCAATACATTTATAGGTGTGTTCAATACAACATATATTTATAGCCGTGCTCTTCACAAGAGCACCATCACAACCTCATTTTTCATAATCACTGTATTCATTATTATTTTACTTTTGTTGTAACAAATTCTCACTCACGCTCTATGGTGCAGGATATTCTTTGAAAAGTTGACTGTATACTAGGCTTGTCAAAGAATAGCCCACTTTCTTTATGGAACCCAAAGGTTCATCACCGTGCTCACAGAAGCCTGCCAGCTGTGTCCAGTTTGCTCCATTGGTTCCCATTGTTATAACAAATTACTATACATAACTCTACTTACACAGGTAAAAATGTAACATAATTTACTCATTATTATAAATTCATTTTTCAACCTTTATTCAATGTGTAAACTTATACTCTACAAAAATAGTGGTCACAGCATATTTTATAAACCACACATTTCAGACATAAGATTCAGATAAAGGGTTTTGACGACAGTAGTTTACACATAATGTTTTATTTACGAATTGCATAAATTACACACGTACAGCAGTACTAACAAGATGATAAAGTGAGATTCACTGTTCAACAACACACATACCTTTTATTTGCAAATTTGTATTGCTTTACTTTGATCACTTCACAAAGACCATACCTGGTACTAATTAGGTAATTATGTACTCACCACCAAGAGTTTCAGACCTCTCTCTCCTGCTGTATTTGGATGAAGTCCAACCTCTTCTATGAGATTTCCACCCTTTAAACAGTCTTCTATATAACCAACAAGCAACTGAAATATGGGGGAAGAAAAAAGTAACATGGTAGATGGACTTAATTATTTATAGAAAACACAGTGGAATATATCACACACAAATTCTGAACATCAATAAGACTTATTACTGTTATAACACTGCAAGATAATGCAAGATCATGTCATGTATGAGACTGTACAACTCGCATAACAAGATGTTTGAAAAATGCTAAGTCAGTCGCCAAATGATGTCCAAGACAGGTGATATAGTGTAGATATGATAAAACTAAATAATGAATGCAAAGAAATTGTGAACTCAAGTTGCAGTTCCTCACATAGGAAGCACTGAGCAATGTGATGACTAAAATTAGAAGAGGAGCAAATAATACAATTACCTTAAGAGCCTGATGATCCACCATGACAGAAGATATTCTCTCAAGCAGCATTTTGACTGTATTATAGTATAAGTTAGTCATCACAGGCTGACCTAATTTCTTCAGAACAAGACTCTGAAATGAAATAGATTTCTCTGTATAGTATCCACAATTTGATTTCTTCGAGATTACAGTTTTAAAGAAACATTTAAAATAAGGAATTAATTTATTAATATTTTAATTCCAAGTGAACGTATTTTAAGCCTTCAATTTACAAAATGTCACGATGTCTGCTG